TTCATTTGGCAAGGAAAAGAAAGATTCTTTTCTAATATTTGCATAATATATATTACAGGTGACACACTTTTGATACTTTTTCTCACTTCACACAATGCTAAAATGTAGTATATATTATTATCCTTGATTTATAGATGAGGAAACTAAGGCATAAGATGTTGTTATTTAGACAAAGTCAAACTAGTAAATTATGGAGCAGAGATTTGGTATGATTTTAAACCACATCTTTTAATCTTTACGCATATTGCTTCCATAATTTTGACTAAGAGGTAGAGGAAGAAGTAGAAGAGCTAATACTTATAGAAGCAAAAAGTATTTGACATATAATTCATAAGCAGAAAATTGTAATACTGTTAAGAAAAGAACTTGGTTGAGAGGTTGAACATAAAAGATAAAGTGGGGTGGAAATGCAAACACAAGTTTTTCAGAAATAAATGGTTTTGCATCTGCAAACAAAATGTATCTGGTTAAGCAACAATTATAGACAGTTTCAAAATGTGCATAATAAATACAACGGTGCATCCTCTCTTCTCTAGGCAGGTTAGCTGATCCAACCCAGACGACAGGCTGTGGGTATGCATCTGGAGATAAATTGTGCATCTCTGTGGATAGTTGGTGGGCTGGTAAGTCGACTTAAGTAGCAAAACAGATATTAACCTTTCCCAAAAGAAAGCATTCAAACCTAGAATCTTAAGAACAGAAACAAAACAAAAACAGTCCTGTTCCTTTTAAAAAAGAACTCTACTTCACCATATACCTTGTGGTCTTTATGTCACATTATACGGTTTAACAGCCACTATGTCAATAATAATTCCCTAGGACATATTGAGCTTTTCACAGAAGGACTGAAATAAGGAACTGCAAAGGGTGACAGTCTCTAAGGAGCCAACACTGGCAATTAAGTGGGAGGTCCCACGAGGAAGGATTAGAAGTGAGAGACCAAGAAAAATGATGCTGTTTCATTTTGCTCAGACCAGATGTGTTTAATACTGAAACTCATAAACACGTCAGAGATAAAGACTGACTGCAATTCATTTTATCAATCATTAATCTAAGGCTTTAGTCATATACTTCATGCTAAAATAAACAGAAGGTATTTTCCAATTCTTTAATTTAATTTTATGCTTTAGTAATGAAACCAATTTATACAATTCCTTAGAGGTATTTCCCAATAATTAGAAACATGACCACATTAAATTTTACATTCTCAGAGTGATGCCCATCATATGTATCCTTTTGTGTTTTCTTCATCCTACCCCTAATCATTTTTTTCTGAAGACCCACAAATAGTGGTGGCCACAGATCTAGAATTCAGAGTTTGTTATCCTCAGATTGGTTTAGTACTTTGGAGTATCAGCCTGCCATACAAGGGCATAGGACTGTATTTAGATATGCATGTCTATGATGGAATATTCTGTATCACTGATTTCTAGCGGGACTCAATATAAGCCTAATACCCAACTAAATTATAATATCTGAATCTGCTGGAATGGGTGATCTGTAGAGAGAAATTTTTTAAAAATTTACAAAAGGGTCTTACTTGATTGTCAACCCAATTATCCAATGGTCTATTGCCAAAGCTTATCCAAAAGTTTTTATTTAGAGACATAAAATAAGGCAGGAACTTAGTGATAGCATGGCTACAAATTAACGTTACATATATAAAATAGAAAATACCTATTTACTAGAGCTATAAT